TTGATCCAAGCACTTACCTGTCTCCCTCCGCCCATCTGTAACACGTGGCTATTCACATTTACCTACTTCGCATGGGAGTTGTGCGGATAAGATAGTTAATGATGACAAAGTGTTTTAGAGACAAGACATTATAAATAAAGCTGTATGGAACTGGAATTTTCATTTTGTTGGACATTCTGTGATTTCAAAGTTTATTTTCATTCCTAATCAGAACAAAACCGAAGAATTCTGAGATTGCCCACAAAGTGAAAAAAAAAAGGGGGGGGGGGAATATCAGATGCTCAGATCCATTGAAATATTTTGTTTTATGTTTTAATTATAAAATAAAATTGTAAACCAAAAAGCTGAAGCCTGCTGCTCTGATAAGGACAGAACAGAACATTTTGACCTTATTGAAACACTTCCCTTCATTTTTTTCCCCCAAAGCAAAAAGTTTCAAACCAGCTCTAGTTCTAAATATTCCTATGATGGTGGATCAATCAGTAGCTTTGGGATTGTGTGTGTTATTTTTATGCTGGGGCGAAAGTGTTAAAAATATTTTATCTAAAAACAGTGATCTGGCCTTAGAAGTTGTGGCCAAAGCTGGCCCAAATTGCTCTACAATATTATCCACAGTCAATCCTGCCGTCAGTAAAAAATAGTGTCACTTATGGAGAATACAGGTGTCAGCTCATGATACCACATGCTGTTCATAGATTTATATATTTCAAAGCCAGAAGATACCATTATCATCTGGTCAGACCTATATAACACAGGGCATAGAATTTCACCCAGTTACATCTGTACTGAGACCAATAACTCAAGAATTGTTCTATTATAATTTTTGTGGTATGGGGACATCAGGATTGTTCTATTATAATTTTTGTGGTATGGGGACATCAGGATCTCAGAGCATAAAACTGCACAGATTCCAGTGTACCAAAAAAAATCCCAGTTTATTAATACCCAGAAAACCAAACAACATAAGGACAAAATAAAAGTGCACTCTATCACACTTCTCTACCAACACATGATTTTGCTAGCATGCATGCACTAATTGTAGAAACCCAAACTCCTGCATACAAATGGGCATGGACACCAAATACTTTCAATGTTCAAATGCAAACATGATCATCTCCAGCCTTCCTCCACAAGAAGATTCAAGAGCTAAATGACTCCAAGTGTCATAGTTAACTGAAGAGAGCCAACAGGTCTGTTGAGCAGTAGCTACAAAGCATTTCACACATATCAGATTCAGATGGGGCACCTCGTATAAATCAATCCTTCATGTACATCACATGAGTTCTGGCATTTTTAAGAAAAAATTGGCTTGTCAAGCTAGTTCTTTACTGACATCCATCTTTCTTTACAAAGAATGATGAGATGCAGACAAAATTACTCTACTTTCACCTGCTGTGATGCAGCCAAATAAGGATTATGTTCTCTCTTGCTAAAGTCAACACAGGGAAATACTGAAGGAGTAAAATGGGATTTTATAGTCTTTACTTCATTTTATTACCATGATTGAAGTGTCATTCCCTATAGCAGGGGCATGCTCTGTTCCTGCCTCTTTCCAGAGGAACAAACTATTCAGAGACCGTCAGGTAAAGCACCCACTGATTTATTTACAAGTTTGTTCCCACCACCCATACAGATTGTGCAGCAGCTTGAACAGAATCCTGGGCTCTACGGCTTTTGAGCCCAACAGGGGAGAGAGACCTCCTATGTCCTTCACTCTACCAGTGACAGCTTTCTCTTTCCCCTTTGCAGCTCCTTCCTGTGTCTGTGTGCCTTCTAAGTTAATGAGGTAATTAGTTTGTAACTCTCTCCAGCCTGTTTCAGTCAATTTGTCCTCCTTCCCGTATTCAGGGGTGCAAGGGGCAGCTAATGGAAGTTGCAGTGATCCGAGTGCTGGATCAGCTGCTGTTGTCCAGAACTCTGTCACACTTCCCTTCTGGCAATATTATATTACGATTTTTTATTCAAGTATTTACCATAAGGCTAAAAAGGGCAACTCTTCCGATGTAACGGTTCCTCAAAGCAGTTGGACCAGCCTAGTGAATCTGGCCTTTAGATTCCAGTAAAGATTCCTTGTATTACTTCTGTTTCACACCAGTGCATGTCAGACGCTGCAGAAGTCATTAAGTCTGAAGGAAGTGGAGCTGATGTAACACCCACCATGCAGAAGAGCTGTAATAAGGCATGAGTTACATGCCTACAACTTAGGCTCTCTCTCTAGACTCAGACTTCCTGAATTTGGCCCTTCAAAGAGATGGGCTGTCTTTAGCTCTCCTCTGAAGCAGTTCATAGTGAAATGGACAACACATATTTGGCCAGATCCTCAGCTAGTGTAAGTTGTCATAGCTCCATTGATCATAATGGAGCTGTGACAATTCACACCAGCTGAGGATTTGCCGTAGTCAATCTACATTGATTTACACCAACTAAGGATCTGGCCCCATTAGGGGAAGTAATGGTGAACAGCATTAGCATAACAACATCAAGAAAGATGTTTTCTTTGCTTGAATGGGATAGCTAAAATGACCAGGAATAACACTATTGTACTTTTCTGATTAAGAAACTATTGACAAACCATGGGATAATTACAGTATGAACCAGTTGTTCCCCTTTGAATGACAGCTTTATCCTAAGACTCTGAAAAACCAAGTTCCAAGTATAACAATAATAATCACTTCATAAAATCATTGCAGTAATTATGTACCTATCTCTATTCACTTTAAGGCTTTTCATTTCAGTGTAATGGCCTCTAGCATAAACATTCACACCTGGGCATGTTCTGTATGTCATCCTGACAGAATCAGACTAAGGTTATCAAGGGTCTGTCCATCTGGGTCAATGATGATTTGCTACTGTTCTAGGAATGTAAAAAAAGTTGACTCTCGTAGTTTGGTTTGTTTTTTAACTTTACTGTAGATGCCAGCTGTTGATCACATGATCAATCCTTCTATTGCTTTACCAGTACCATGATTATTTACAACAGCAAAATGTCAGTCTTTCACATAAATCTTCCCTTTGGCACAATGTATGACAAACAAATATTTAAGGACAGGGCTTACAAGGGTTTGGGGGTGATTTCACTTGTGTTATTTCAGTCTGTGGCTGTATATAAAACAAAATCTATCTTCAGGGAATTAAATCTCACATAACATTACATTTGCTTCACTGCACTTAATAGTTTGTCTAGCTATCCCCAGTCAAAGTGAAAAACAAATATTTTACATGGATCTAATGAGACGAACAATACTTCGTTTCCACGGCTTTTTTTATTTAATTATACAAGAAGTAACCTTTTTTTGGTATTATCCAGATATTTCATTGGACATTATTTTAAGGAATGTCCTGATTTCAGGACAGAGATTGGTCACACTTTACATTAAGGTTATGTTTTAGAAGCATGTTACAGGCATGAGTAGTTTTGTAAAGGGACCCTTCAACAAAAATAAGTCTACTTACAGGACTACAGACTGACAACTCGCTGTTTTATTTAACTGCATCACAACAGAAGGAGGGTGGGGGAAGTCCCACTAAATAAGGGAAGGCAGGAGCATGATTCCAACACATAATATGTTGAGTAATCCTGTTAATGTCATGATGACCACTTTACTACAAGTACGGTGTGTCACAGCTGGTTATAAGCACATCACCAGATGGTGTTATAGCTGGTTATAAGTAAGACTAAGATTTTGTTATGGTTATTTTTAGTAAAAGTCATGGACAGGTCACAGGTAATAAATGAAAATTCATGGAAGCCGTATCCTGTCTGTGACTTTTGCTGATGTGGGTTCAGGGTTTCCCCCGCCACCCTGGTGGCTGGGAGCTGTGGGGTTCCCCCTTCACCCATGGTGGCTGGGAGCTGCAAGGTTACCATATTTCCCAAAGAGAAAATGGGACACCCCAGCCGCTCGCGGAGGCTGTCGTCTGTCGCTGGAACCCTGCCAGGGCCCCACTGGCTGTCAGCTCCAGAGTCCTACAGCCCCTGGAGCAGAAGCAGAGAATGTCAGCGAGGTCTCTGGAAGTCACAGATTCTGTGATTTCCATGACCTCCGTGACATAAACGTAGCCTTAGTTATAAGCAACCTGTTGGACTCATCTATACTAATTGATTAACCATTTATTAAGATATTAGTTATCTAACTGCCCTTTATAAACTATTTGCACATGTGACTAATATAAAAGGTGATCTGTCTAGTCTAAATGACTAAAAGTAAAACTGTTAAAGCTACAACCTACCCCCCTAGTTTGTCATTGGTGGGATTAGCCCAGGGGAATGTCTGTGCTCCCCAGCTGTCTTGTGGCTAGCCCTGAAGAAAGGGAGCAAGGAGGGAGGGAAGGTCCCATGATCCCTCTCTTCTGCCCCTTCTCCTAGACCCTAAGTCATCAAAACAAGCTGGAGAAGGGTAGTTTCAGATAAATGTTTGGTATGCCATGTCTTCCAAACTGTGGTGCATGGACCCACCATAGTCTGTAGAGAGCTCGCTAGCCATATCATGCTGGCTGTACTCCTCCTTTCTGGCTGCTACATCAAATTAAAGACAGCTGGATAAAAACAGTGAATACGCTCCTGATCTTACTTTCTCCTATAAAAATTGCCACTAATTGCCAAAGAGATGTTATTTGATCACCAGAGGGAGGAGATAGGGCCAGCAAGCAGGGCTGTTGCCCTGAGCAATAACTTCTAGGGGCACTACGTCATTTGCCCCCTTTTTTTTGGCATACACACTTGGCTGGTCCGCTCAGGGCAGGGGACCAAGTGGTTTTCCACCCTGGGTGGCAACACATCTAGGCCCAGCCCTGGGTTAGGAGGTGATGTGTGCAAGACAATATCTATATTATGTTGCATAGCCATGAATAAGCAGCAGCAATTGCTGTAGATAGCTACTCAAGGGAGACATGCTCATACACTAAGCCAGCGTATTTACAAGTATTCATTCCTTCTTTTGGGGGGAGGCAAACATTAAAAGAAAAAAATAAAGCCCTGGAAATGAGCCTGGTATACTAACCTCATCGACATTCTCAAATGCATTGATGACGTCGTATGGCAAGCATGAAAGCAGATCAATCACAAACCAGGTCTTCAGGTAGTTCATGCGGATCAGCTTCGGGTCTGAGATCACCTCTCCGGCCGGCCCAACGAAAGTGGTATGGAAATTAAGCACAATGTCTACTAAAAAAATGACATCTACAATACTATCTACCACCAGCCAGGCCACGTTGTTCTGTTTGGTTTTAAAGGAGACGTTGTAAGGGACCAAAATAGCAGTGTAGAAGGTTAAAATCAGGATGATCCAGTCCCAGGTGGTCTTGAAAACACAATAATGTAAAATGATATGTGGTGGAGTCTTTGGTGCCTCTTGTTTGTACTGTGGAAGGATTTCAGAGCCCAGCTGCAGTACCTGGAACAACAGATAGTTCAGAAAAAAGGAAACATTTTTCACTTTTTTGATTATTGAGCTCAGCAAAATGTTTCATAGAAATAGTGCCCATTACAAGAAGCTGAGACTCCTTTTAACACTGAAGAGTTGCAAGTACAACAGAAGCCTTTTAAATTAACCGGTTGCCTCTACATCCTTTCACTATTAGTTTTTATGGTAGCTTCCTATTTGCATTATGGTAGCAATTTGATGCCAACCCCAGATCAGGGTCTGTCACAGGGCATGGCTGTCCCATAGCACCCCCTGCTGGCCAAGCATGGCTCCTGCCAGCACTCTGCCTCATTTTCCCATCACCAGGGTTTTGTCTCTCTCCCAGAGAATAGACATGGTTCAGTCTTCCAGCTAGGTCACTTTCAAAATTCAGTCCACACAACTCCAAACAATCCAAAAGTACTTTTGCCCCACTTTGGTTCCTCTTCTGAGCACTTTCTGGGCTCCCTTTAAGTCTCTCTGCTCTGGGATGGAGCATAGAATCATAGAACCATAGAATATCAGGGTTGGAAGGGACCTCAGGAGGTCATCTAGTCCAATCCCCTGCTCAAAGTAGGACTAATTCCCAACTAAATCAGCATGCTTCCCTGGAGTCCCTTCACAGTCTCAGCTCCTCTTGGAGCTACCTTTCTATCTTCCCTACTCTGACATAGGATGCTGGCTACTTCCCTGGAGTCCTTCCAGACCCTCCCACAAGAGCCCAACTTGCTCCCTGTGGTTCTTCCTGCAAACAGAGTTTTCTCAGCTCTCCCATGAGACCCAGATGTTTCAGGGTGTCACCTGACCCCAGTTAGTCCAGCCCTCTTAGGCTGGGAAGCAGCTACCTATGGCACAGGCAGGGCTAATGGAACAGGGCTGGCTAGTCTAGACTTCTTGGCCCTTAAGGGTATATTTGCCCTGCTAGTGGGAGTGAGCTTCCCGCCCAGGTAGACGGACTCGCACTAGTGGGGCTCGAGCAACCTGACTAAAAACAGCAGTGTGGGCATTGCGGGTGCGGTGGAGACACAGGCTGGCCACACAAGCTTAGACCCAGGGGATCGGGTCGGCTTGAGAGCCTGAGCTCCAGCCCCAGCCACAACGTCCATGATGCTATTTTTAGCCCCACTAGCATGAATGTGTCTCCCCTGGCTGGGGGGTTCACTCCCAGCTGCAGTATAGACTTACCCTATGGGGCAGGCCTTCCTGTTACAGGGCCCCATGACATGAGGCACTGAAAACAAACATAGCAAGAGACGGATTCTGCCCTGAAGAGTTTACAATCTAAATAGACAAGACAGACAAAGGGTGGGAAGGGAAGCAGAGGCAAGGAGTTACTTGCACAAGGTCATTGGCAAAACCAGGAAGAGAACCTAGCTCTCCTTACTCCCAGTCCAGTGCCACAACCACTGGACCACACTGTCTCTGAACACTGGTGCTTTAATTCTCTGCTATATTGATGCTATGATGTGGCATGAATTAATTGGACTTTGTTGTGCTATTTTGTGGGGCATAAGAGTAAAGCTCACTTTGCTTTCAACACCACAAAATTGTGCCATTAGCCCAGTAAATTATGCCAGCTTTTAACTTTCATTTCCCATTAAAATAATTCAGACATCAGGAGTACTGAATATCTGAAGACCTCAGAACTGATTCTGACCTCATTTAGGCCCAAATTCAGCAAAGCACTTAAGCAAAGGCTTAACTTTAAGCATAGGCTTAGAACTCATTGAGCAATTCTCAGTTTGAAGTTAAGTCCTTTTCAGAATTGGGCCTTGGATTGGTTTTATCCCAGTGGAACTCCACTGCCTTCATTACCGTTACCCCTGATTTACACACCGGAATAACTAAATAGAATCAGGCCTGGAAGTTTTTGGACCTGATGATCATCTCATGCTAGTGTAAATCAGGAGTGACTCCATTTAAGTCAATGGAGGCACATAGGCATGAAATCAGTTAGATCAGAATCAGGCCCTTACATTTTTTTCCTCAAAAGCATTGGCTCAGCGATAGGAGAAAATGGAGAGGAAGACAAAGGCATTGCCAGAGGGAGGTGAGTCAGTGCCAGACAAGTAGAGTCTGGGAAAGCTTTTT